GTGCGACACCAACCTTGCGAATGCCATGATCCACTACATAAAAATCCTATTTAGACATTGCATGGCTAGCGTTTTACTTTGTTTTGATTGCTTGACTAGCTAATAGTTTTCAAAAAAGCAAGAGCTTAAGCATATCATGCAATCAACTAATTTTGTGATCAACATAAATTAAAGTGCAAAACAATAATTTAAATAAATAAATCACGACTATGAGCAATTAAAAGACTAGCAACATGAACAAATAAAGATCCAAATGACTCTAAAAAGAGCATAGAAAAAGAAATATTACATTTTGAGAAAATAAGATTATTGATTATCATATTTTTTATTTATAATGAATTAGCTGTGAAATTTTATTGATCAATCTAGGTTTTATTATTTTTGGAAAAATAATATATAGGCAAATTCATCTTTGAAACCAACTAGAGGACCGGATGTGTTCAGTTTCCATAGTTTAACGGTTAAAAGATATCTAGTTTTCGAGTGGCCAAAATTGGAATGGATTTCTTTGTCTTATCTTTCTGAAACACAATCTAGAGGCATGCCTATGCATGTACATTTACCTTGCACACGTGTACACTCTCCCTGAACCTTCAAGAGGCTGAGTTTGTTATCGCGCACTATTGAATGAGTATCATTGTTTTTCCTTAAATAAATTTAGAAAAATACGAGCACATGCCACTAGATCTAGGACTTAAATTTAGGTGGTCCTACTACAAGAAGCATAACCAGATAGCTGCAAGCAAGTTTTGGATTTAACCCTGAGTTTGGAGGTCATGAACTTCCTACATAGAACATACAATCAATTCCTCGTGGATTAGTGATTAAAAGTTTTAATAGTGGATCAAAGTAATCTCTATGTATTTCATGGTGTCAGATTGTCTCTACACAACATATATACAGGATGTTTAACGACATAATCTTAATTGCTTAACTGTTGATGAGTATAAGTTTTAGCTGAAGTGCAAAATATCTTCTACTTTAGCTGCTAGCTTGTTTGACCACATGGTGTCATAATTTTTGATCTGATACTCTTCAGGCCTTCTAGCCGATACAGTTCTTTCTAGGCTTATATTAAGCGCCATGTTGCAGTTCTTAAGCATATCCTTTGCTATCTTCCTAAAGAAAATAATGAGGGAATATGTCCTCAAAGGACAAGCAAAAGTGGTGAATGCAAGCTGCATTTGCATAAATGCTTGCGGCATATCCAAGATGTCCGCCGGATTCACAAGATAATCAACCGAAGAAACATATTATTCCACTCGCTACTTATTGTGATCTCCTGTTTATCAAATCATCATCTTTAGCACACAACTCTGTGAAAGCAGTAATTTCTGAGGTCATAATCACCAGAGAGATCGATTTAGCTCGTGCGCAATAAAACTAATGATCAGTGTATTAAGGATGAAGCTACCATTCTTCTGAAAATTCTTGAAAATAAATAAATAAAATGGAATTCGGGTTGAATTGATCGGTCATGGGTGAGTTTTTTTTTTATGAGAGATATGCAGTATGAGGTCATACCTGCTATTTGTGGTAGTGGTCCACCACCAGTAACATTGCTACTAGTGGTATCCACCAAATTATATAAAAGAAAAAGGCAGAGTCCACTATCATATTTACAAATTCGCTACACCTGGCTTTCTCAAACGCATGCAGGAAATCCAATGGTTTTATCTTCAGAGATAAGGTTGATGTGCTAAACAACTGCTTCTTGGTTAGAGAAAAAGCCTCAGCTCTTGGGGTCACTGTTAGTGTTGTGCCTTTCCCATCATTCCTCCCAGGAAAGAAAGGTAAGCTGATAAGCGATACGATAGGTGATGTGGCAGTGCACCAAACGTCGTGCAACCTACGGCTCAGATTGCACAACAGTGCACGTCACCATGATATGTACTCCTATATTTATATTTATAAAAGAAAGGAAAGAAAGAGTTAGCAGCAATTCAACTTGTCCAGTCCATCTTGCACGGCAGTTAGTGACCGTCAATTTTTACAATTCCACTAGTAAGCCTTGCTGTCACTGGACATTGCTGCACCACCATGCATCAGATTGGTCTTCATCAAAGGATGATGAAGCCAGTAAATCTGAACAAGAGCATGATCAGTTCATGTTTAGCCAGCTGAGAGCCTGAGATTAGCAATTTAGCGCAACAATCTTGTTCATCTGATCACTGCTGTGAAGAGATCAGGGAGGAGGGTTTTACTTACAGAGGAAGCTAAACCAGCAAGCATCTGGAGATAGAATTTCTGCCGACATGAAAGCATGGAAAGGTGACGTGGACAGCACCATGTTGGATTAGAGGATAGCCCCACTTGGAGTATTGTCATCTACCTCCAGCCCCTTTATCCTGCCTTCTCATCACCATACTCTCTTTTTATCAAAATCCATATCTTCTTCTCATCCTCTTTATCCCGTACATTGTCATTCATCAATCCGCGTTATTCGTCATTCCAGCGCCAAACGTCGGATTGGTTTTCGCCCGAGTGCGAATCCTCTGTCGCTTTTCTTGCAAGATTTGCAAGGCTTGGTAAATGGTGGACAGGCACGCGGTATCCCAGAAAAGAAGATGGTACATGGTGGACAAGCAGAGGCTGTCCCAGAAAGAACTTGTCTCACACTTATCATAAAAGGACAGTACGAATTTCACCTGAAACAAAACAATTGGTCAAGCAATTCCACGTGAATTTCAAGCAATAGCAGCACGATTTCATCTCAAATTCGTCATGGAAAAAAGAGCAACTTTTCAAAGATGGAAATTCTAGAGAAGACACGAACTCCATGCGTGAGCTTTTGGCGAGTAGACGAGCTGAGGTAGTAGTGAGACGGCCGTCCTTCTGGTCCCTGGAAAGTCAGGCCGGCACCCCGTTAGCAGAGAGGCCTCTGCCACATCCTGCCAAAAACGTGTTGTGCTTTCAAGCAGCACAAGCATTAGTATATAGCATATCAGCGGAAAGTTGCCAACAAATAGTGAACTAAGTGGAGCAAATTTTGTGCAGGAAAGTTTTCAGATTTCCGGCAACAACTGGGGGCGGTGCTAACCATTCTCCACATACTTTCCCTCTTATCTTCAGAAAAGGATCTTCCATTCTTCCCTCGATAAATAAAAAAATACAGCTGGCTGTGCTACAGGAGTCTGCAGTTCTGAAGCTGTGGCGGCGGCCGAAAGTAGCTGAAGCAATGATCTTACACAAGAACAAACTTATCGGACAACCATTCCGCTGCTGGTAACGGTAAGCAAATGCAAACACAAACTCAAACAAGACTAACAACAATGATCTTACATGGTGAACAAATTTATTGGACAAAGGTTGTCTCAACAAAATACTAGTTCTGCAGAAGTTGGGGCTCACTAAAATCATGATCCAGTGGCACAAGTGTTGGAAAGTATTACAATCAGGATTGCGCATCCAAAGTAGCATCACAGGAGAGAAGGAATCCACCAAAGAAATGATGCGTCAGTATCTAGCCATCTTGTAAACCTCCTGAATAAAGTTTGAACCTTATTTAGGAAGAGCAGCACCGTGGATGAGCTGTTTGATATCAACTCTTGCCGCTCTCCTCCTCTTTCATCTTTTTCTCCCACCTACGTTTCTGGTGGAAAAAAGTTTCAAGCACAAACAGACAGATGAGCCAGTCAGATCTTTTTCAAGGGATGCCTTCGTTCAATCACTATCATAGCTATCATTACAATTGGTCTAAAAACACAAACATGGCATCTTTGTGCACCAAGGTCAATGCGAGATAAAAAGCTGGATCACTGACAACAGATATTTGACTATTTGAGTGGCCGCTAGACGAAACTAGTACCACAGTTTTAGAAAATATTTCCCAAAATTACGTCATCATTATTACTAGACTAGCAAAATAGGTAATGGCGAGCAACCATCAGGAAATTTTGCCACCAGTGCAGTAGAATTGCAGACCCTTATACCAGTGCACCAACACAATTTATGGGTCTGCTTTACTGCTTTAGGTATTTTTCTGTTTATTTTATAAGCTGGATTGTTGACTTTATGGAAATCTTGGATTAAATTTAAACACATACCTAGCTACCATTGTCAGATAGTATGTTCCAATTGGGATCTTGAAATTTTTTAGAAAATACTACAATCTTTCATGTCAGCCTTCTGTTTGACTCACAAAGAACATTTGTTGAGTGCTTTGAACCAATGTTATCAAGTCGTCTAGTCGATCCTAGTCGTCCTATATATACATCAGGACTAATATACCAAATATACACTAATATACTATATGTTCTAGAGTACAAATCAAGCATGAAGATATACCTCTAGGTGGTGGCTGCATGTAGGGTTGCAAATTGGGCTAAAAAACATGAGCCCAAATGACCTAAGCCATCCCAGATGCAGCCCATATCCTAAGCTACCCAGCAATTCCATTTTGTTTCTGGTCATCCACCCCCTAGTTGTCCGACTGATCATGATTAGTCGACGACTAATCGGACGACCAGAAAACTCATTGGCCTAATCGAGTCGTAACCCCTAGTCGAGTCCAGGATACTGACTAGGACGACTAATCGTGGTTAATCGGATGACTTGATAACACTGCTTTGAACTAGAAAGTTGATTTACCCTTGATGGCATGAGACAAGCTAAAATTAATTGGTTGACGGCTGGCTGTAGGTGTTAGGATTCTAAAGACTGATGGGGCTCAATTACAGGTGCAGCAGTAAGACTTTGGTTTCACTGATTTCATAATGATATGTTAGCTGTTGATCCAATTGAAACCAGTAGCTTGATGCAGATTATCATTATAGATGGGATCCAATTATTTTAAACACAAATGCTTAGCTGTTGTTAAATTATGGTATCACTGAACCAGTCCACCAACACAAGCTTCTCTTTTCTCTTTAAACTAAATAAAGATTAGACTTAAATCTAGATCACAAAATATATTTGGTCCAATCTAGATCCCAAATATATTTGGTCTACAATACGGGATAACCAAATTATGCTAATGCCAACATCATGATGATAAGCCATTAAGGGCTTCTGTCGCCCAAGTACACCTCTACCTGCATAAGCTGCATTCCAGCCAAAATATAGCAGCTGAAGAAAATTTTCAGGGGAAATACCAAGATAACCTTCTGGCTTGCTGCTATGAAGCTAAAACAACTGATGCCCAAGTCTTGTGGCTTGCCTAGATCAGTGGTGGATTCTAAATATGACTATGTTGAACGTCGATCAAGCACAACATTGGTTTCGAAATTATACAAAAGATCAGCCAACTAGGTTCAGCGTAACCTCAACATATATTAGTCATTGAACCGGAACATTACAAAAAAATAATCTGCTTTTGTAGATTCTGAGATACAAGAATTCAAAAATTAGGCCCAATAGATCCCCATCCCCCTGATATAAGCCAAAAATGACCTAACAGGCTCTCAATTAGAGTAGCATACATTAGAATTTAGAATAGAACAGAATGACTATGAATCTTTACTGCTTCTCTGTTATCTACCATGATAAAAGGAACCCAATGGAATTTGGATTATGGTAATACGAAGATTGAAGTTTGAGCAAATGTCACTGAGAAGCCTTACGCTATAGGCTAAGTAGTGTCCAGCACAACAAAAACTTAATGTGGGAGGCTATTATGTTAGGATAAGTAGTCTTCAACAAAAAAGTCATGTTAAGTATCAGGAAGTTTGCTAGATTCTGAGCAATCCAAAAATACCAGCTAAAACAATACATCTAAACCACCCCGGCTTCAAATTGGCATGGTTTCACTTTCACACAATGATCGCTAACATCAGTGCAGGATGTATGTGCACACTGGATTGCAATGTAAACGTACAACAGGTAGCAGAAGATAAACTAAGATGAGGCAGACGCAAACCTTGTAGTCGAGCAGCATCTGGGGCATCTTCTTCATCAGCTCAACAGTATTTGCTCGCCTGAGAAACGGAAACGGAAACGAAACGTCAGTCGACTGACCCAGTGAGCAAACCGAACACACAAATGGAGGGGAGGGACGCAGGAGACGAGCGCGCTTACTTCTCGGCGGAGATGCGGTCGCACTTGTGGCCCTTGCGCTTGGTGCGCATCTCCCCGCGGGGTGGGTCGTAGGTCCAGTCCTCGCCGGCGAGGAGCACCTCCTTGCGGAGGCGGGCGCGCTTGCGGGCGCTGATGCCGAGCGGCTTCCACGCGCCGAGCTCCCAGTACCCCCACACCCCCTTCCCGAGCTCCCCCTTGTACTTGGCCAGCTTCTCCCTCCACGGGTACCCCTCCGCCCACCTCGCCGCCGTCGCGGCCGCCGCTTTCCCGAACATCGTCGTCAGCTCCGATCGCTCTGGATCAGTAGGGTTCAGGCTGCGGCTTTGGGTAGTCGAGTGGCCACCTAATGGGCCTTTTGAGCCTGGGCCACATTGAAGATCATGTACTGGGCTTTAGTGGCACATAAGTGGAGGAGTGAGAGATCAGGCCCAGTTAGGCCTTTATAAGCCCAACAGGCCCACTAAAACCCTTCCGCTTTGGCCATCTCCTCCTCCCTCTTCTTTTCTTCTCCCACGAAAACCTCGCAGCCGCCGCCGAACTCGAAGCAGCAGCCATGGTGCTCGCGCGCAAGAAGCTGAAGCAGAAGCTCCACGCGCTCCTCCCAGCCGGCGAAGCCGCCGCGGAGGCTCATGGAGAGGAGGTGGAGTCCGTGAAGGAGCGGCTCTTATCCTCCAAGCGGCCGCGCCCCAAGAGGGAGCGGAAGCCCAAGAAGAAGTCGCTCCCCGAGATGGTGCGGCAGACGGAGGAGGAGATTAGGGAGGAGGTGGAGCGGAGGAGGGAGGAGAGGAGGAAGGAGAAGAAGGAGAAAAGGAGGATCAGGAAGTTGATGGAGGCCGAGGCCGCGGCGGCGGCCGCGGAGCCGGAGACGCAGCAGGTGGATGGGGAGACGGGGGCGGAAATGGAGGGCAAGGAAGAGGCCGATTCTGCTGCTGGGTCTGAGTCTGACCAGCCTGTCGAGGCAGAGGATAGGTGAGTTAGGGCTTGGAAAGTTGGTTCTTTTGCCCAAAAGGATCACTGAATTCGTGAAATCTTCATAGCAATAGCATGCTCGCATAGTGTGAGCTCAGAACAATAGTATAAGATATAAAATCAACAAATACAGGGGTTAATACTCGGCTTTGGGTCAGCCATCTTACTGCACTGTGATCTAATTGTGTGCCATTACATTATTATTGTTACTGTTGTTAAAAGAAAAGAATTCACTATTTTTTCTGTCAGCTTATAGTTGTATTAGGTTGCTTGATGTTGTTAATATCTTCTGAAATATTTTAGTGTGCTGAAGCTACTTTTAGTAGTTGTATAACGTTTTGTTGGCCTTGTATGCTCTTGTTTCAGCGAGCAAAATATAAACAAGGTGGAAGTGACCAAACCTGCTGTTGGGTCCAACAATCACATTGTTGCAGATAATAGGTAAGCCAGGGTACAATATAGTGATGCTCTTGTACTTGGAAATAATGTAGGTGATGGAGCACTTCTGCAGTCGAAGCTTGTACGGTGTGATCTTTGTCGGCACTAGTTGTGTAATGCTTTACATCTTTGTTTCAGGCAGCAGAATCACAAAGTGGAAATGGCCAAAACTGTTGTCGGGTCCGACAATCCTATAGTCGCTGAGCATAGGTGAGTTAGGGCGGCCTGATAGATTGGTGCTTTTGTGCTCTTGAAAACAACCAGGAGTCCAGGACCTGTTTGGATATCTTAGTTTCTACAAACATGATATCAAGAAACTATAGTTTTAGAAACTATGGCCATATAATATCTGGGTTTATAAAAGAGGTCCTAGATGAACTTCAAAAACTTACAAGAGACTATTGTAGCAATACTGTGGTTTTGAATCTTCATCATTTGTTACATTCAAACACCTCTTAGTACCAAACACCTCTTAGTACCAAAAACCAAGTTATTTTGTTAAACCTAGCATTTTCCCAAAACTCAAAAAGATATCCGAATATGTCCCGAGCCCCATTCTTGTTTGATTAACATGGCTGGGCATGGAAATAGGAGAAACATTGTTAAGATGCTGTCTTTGTGAGAACCAATAAGATCAGACACTCTTGTAGAGCATGCTAGTACAATGAGTTTGCTTACTGTGTAGGTCATGGACAAATCCAGGGGTTTAACTTGTACTTGGGTCTGTGCTGTTTTGCTATTATATTACTAAAGTAGTGTGATAATATGATAAAAAGAGCATACCCATTTCTGGGTGCGATAATATAACACATAAAGAGTTAAGTCACCAACTTATTTGACTGTAAACTTGTTTTCGCTCATAGTAGGATGCTTCCTCTCTTGAATGTTGTCTAATGTGTCGCGTCTATATTTCAGGAAGCAAAGTATAAAGAAGGTATATGTTGGTGGCATCCCATACTATTCATCTGAGGATGACATAAGAAGTTTCTTTGAAGCATGTGGCAGTATCACAGTGATTGACTGCATGACTTTTCCCGAGAGCGGGAAATTCAGGGGTATTGCGATTCTCACTTTTAAGGTCAGTTTCTGAGCCAGTTTTGCTTCTTTTAGTCTAGCACAATGTTTTCAAGTCGTCCGATTAATCGTGACTAATCATAAACTCCTCCGTGAGTTTGTGGAGCGAGTTTGCGAGAGGTAAGTCTAGCACAATGTTTTCAAGTCGTCCGATTAATCGTAACTAATCATCCTCGCATTGCACAGGCGAGGGTAAGGCTTGCCACTTACACCCTTCCCCAGACCCCGCACAGAGCGGGAGCTCTCTGCACTGGGTACGCCCTTTTAATTGTGACTAATCATCCTTATCGGTCCTTAGTGACCGATTTGGGGCACCGAGGCGACCAGCTCGATCAGAAAGCTGGTCGTCCGATTAATCAAAGAGTAATCGCGATTAATCGTCCGACTAGGACAGGGACGACTAGTTTTGTTGCTCTGTTTTTTGGGCCTATTTAACCAGGCCTATATGTGGCCTATTGGGCTTGCAATTTGGTCTGTTAGGTTTAGAATAGACACCAAAAAGCAGGAGGCACGCAGGCACACCGCAATTTTTCCCCCGTGCGCCTCCAGTCTCCCGCGCGCGCGTTTCCTCCCTCCCGCGCGCAATTCCTCCCTCCCGCGCGCGATTCCTCCTCCCCCACGCTCTATTCCCTGTCTCTGGTGACCTATTCTCCTCCCTCGCACACTATTCTCCTCTCTGGTGAGCTGTGTAGCCGGCGGCGCCCTCTGCCAGGTCAAGTGGTCGCTGTTCTTCGTGATGAGCTGCTCCGACGACGGTATGTGCCTTTCCCCTCTCCATCTTCTTCCCTCCTCCCCCATCCCTCACTCTGTAGCCTCTCTGGCTCTCTGCTAAACTGCTAGGTTGCTTGCTGTGATGTACTGCTGTCCCTCTGCTATTCTCTGGCTCAAGCTGTTGATAAAAAGAGAAAGGCAAGATCTCAAGACCTAGGATGGAAGTATGGGTGGTGGCCAGATCCTTCCAAGAAGGACTTTGTGCAGTGCATATTTTGCAGGAAGGTAGTCCCAGCCGGAATATGCAGATTCAAGCAGCACCTTGCTGGGGGGTATGGAGATGCAATAAAATGTCCTAATCCTCCAGCAATAGTTAGGCTTGACTAATCGGCCTGGTCGACGACTAATCGCGATTAGTCTCCTGGTCGGTCCCATGGCGACTAGGTTCGACTGGACGACTTGAAAACATTGGTCTAGCATTCCTGTTTGTTTGGCACATCAAATTCTTATCCCATATGCAAAGTTTGGTCTGTATAATGTTCAAAGTTCTTATTCCTTAATTATATCCAAATGTCAGTTTGACTTGTTAACTGACCTGGAATTAGAAACTGTATGTTCAGCAGATACTTTAGATGCATCAGGTTGCAACTGTATGATCTTAACTTCCGTGTTAATTCCACAGAATCATAGAAATCAACTGGAATATCTGCATTGACTGCCTCTGCAATTCTTTTCATATGGCTTGCTATAACAATGTGTTTCACTTTTTATTTTTTGGAATGTATTCTGAGGTATCTGACAACTGTTCTTTTTTCAGACTGATGCTGCCGCACAGAGGGCATTAGCTATGGATGGTGCAGATATGTAAGCATACAGCCTTCTGTGTGTAATCCCTCATTGTTTTAATCATGGGTAGTGACATTCTTGATAATCATTTCAGGGGAGGATTTTATCTGAAAATCCAGCCTTACAAACTTAACCGTGAGAAGGAAGATTTTGCACCAAAGTTGATAGAGGGATATAATAGGATATATGTTGGAAATCTGCCATGGGATATAACAGATGATGATCTAAAAAGGTTCTTTTCTGAGTGCAAAATTTCGTCCATCCGGTTTGGAACAGACAAGGAGACAGGTGAGTTCAAAGGTTACGCGCATGTTGATTTTTCCGATGGCACGTCTCTTGCTGTTGCTTTGAAGCTCGACCAGAAGGTGCTCAAGTGGCGCTCAGTCAGAATCAGATGTGCTGTTCCGAAAAAGGATAACCAAAAAGTCAATGATAATGGGAACTCAGATCAATTGAAAAGTAAAATTCGGACATGCTATGAATGTGGAACTCCTGGGCACTTCTCTTCTTCTTGCCCAAATAAGAAGGATTCTGAAGCAAGGAAGTGCTATGAATGTGGCACCCCTGGGCACCTGTCTTCTGCTTGCCCAAATAAGAAGGATTCTGAAGTAAGGAAGTGCTATGAATGTGGCGCCCCTGGGCATGTGTCTTCTGCTTGCCCAAATAAGGATTCTGATGTAATTTCTGATGAAAAGGAGGCTAATGCTAACTCAGTCATAGCAGCCTCAAAGAAGAGGCGAACATGTTATGAATGTGGCATCCCTGGGCACCTCTCTTCTTCTTGCCCAAATAAGAAGGATTCTGAATTTATTTCTGATGAGAAGAAGACTAATGTTGACTCAGCCACGGCGTTATCGAAGAAGAGGCGGACGTGTTATGAATGTGGAACTCCGGGCCATCTCTCATCGGCTTGCCCAAACAAAAGGGCATCAGACTCTGTTCCGAACAACAGAGAGCCTGTTGATGATGCAAAACCTGCAGCTACCATCATGTATGAGGAAACAAAAGTTGGCGATGAACCAAATTCAGCAGCTTCAAAGAAGAGGCGAAAATGCTATGAGTGTGGCATCTCTGGTCATCTCTCCTCAGCTTGCCCCAACAAAAAGGCTGCTGAGCCTGTCTGCAATGAAGAGAAGCGTGACAATCACTCAAAAACTGTACTATCAGTCATTGCTGATGAAAAGGACAGTGAAGACACAAAATCTGCACCTGCAAAGAAAAAGAAGAGGCGGACATGTTATGAGTGCGGTATTGCTGGCCATCTCTCGTCAGAATGCCCGAACAAGGCAGCTGCTGAGGTCTAATGACGGTTGGCGTAGCCTGAGTAAGGCAGATGTTGAGGTCAAATGATTGTAGCATCTCTTTTTTCTTTCATTCTCGAGGATTTAGTCTCATTGTATTGTATGGTCTGTTCCTTGATACGAGATCTCTTCTGAAGGAAAAATGAAGTTTTGTAACAGGAAATGTAGGCATAGTAGAAAAGGATTTCATGTCAAATTTTGATTCCATGATATCACAAGATTCACTAGTTGTTGGAAAAGAGTCATTATTATCAACATCTATATCAACTCTTTTGTTTGAAAAAATTATGTCATGGGCTTCATGAACTGGACTGTGGGCGGCAGCGTCCTCCACCTCCTGCACTGCGGACTGTAAGAGCCAGTGCCTAATTCCCCTAGTTCTGCTGCAGGCAACTTATCTCTGCATCAGTTTCTTGTTTAATTTGAAAAGGGGACTTTTGTTTAGGAACTTCTGGGATTTTTTTTCCTACCCTACAGTAGAGGAGCAAAGAAGCACGAACTTGATCCAAAACAATGACAGCAAGCCATAGTTGATCCAAATGATACCCAAAACCATAACAGCAAGCCATGGTTAAGGGTGAAAGAAAAAGAAAAGAAAGAAAGCTTTTGGTTGATCTTAATCTACTGGATTTTGATCTAAATGCCCCTCCACCAAACATACAGATACAGTGATCCATGTCGTAGGTATTGTGATTAGTGCCCTAACCATAGTAGCAAGCACTACTATATGCTAATCCCGGCCCTTCTCTCCGAATCCTTATGCTGTCCCTGTCTGATTCAGTCAGCAACTGTGTGTTGTGTGATGATGTCACTGCACTTGGCCAGACGGGATCACTCGCCCTGCCTGCTGCATATTCATAGTGGATACTACTTCAATTCAAATCCGCGGAAAGATCCGTTCAGAAAAACAGAGCAGTCTGCATCATCACAGTGGAGACCTACGTGGAGACGTCGACCAAAAGATTTGTTCGCTTGAACTTTTAAGTCAGAATCAGCCCTATTTTTTTAGCTATGGAACGGTGTTTTTCTCTCACAACAAATCAGTCCTACAAATCAGCCGCAGCAGCAATAAGTCCCTGCCGAACATAGCCAAATATTTGGGACGAGCTGGGTGCGTGCAGAGGGACGCAAGCAGTATCAAGCATTGGATCCCAACAACAACAAGAAGCAGCAGCAGCTAGAAGAGGCAGGGACAGTGGATCTCCAGCCTTGAACGCAGAAACTCGTTCGTGTTGTGTCACCAGAGACTCGACTCCCTCTGAAAAGCGGCTGCAGAAGGTTTTCTTAGCTCGCCTGCTCTTTTTTTTTCTCGAATACGCACGAGCGTGCATATCATTGTATTAGAAGAAAGAGTTTATAATACAAGAGTTGTACTCCCAGCCGTTAGTTTTTTGCGGACGCTACATTATGGAAAAAAACAACAACCGTAATCCATGTCTATCCTGACAACGTCCTAGCCCTGCGCCAGCGCACGTAGCCCGCATGCTCCGGCCTGAATCCATCGGTCGGCTTCGCTCTTGATGATGTGCAGTAGGTCGCCGACGGACAATGTCGATTCCCGGAAACATCTTGCGTTCCATTCCTTCCATAGTTGCCAGGAGACGAGGGCGAAGAGGGAGTCCATGCCATTTCGCCGATCGCCGTTGCACACTGACCGCACTCGCCTGCCCTTTGACATGCGTGGGAGAGCAATTGGCAATTCATGAAAGAACAGCAAATTGGCAATTCATCACACCACAATGTTCATCATGCCACAATTGTTTCTCTTTTGTCCATGCCATAGTATGAAGATACTGTTACACTGTCATGAAATGAAAGAGTAAGTCATCGTTAAGGGATGTTACAAACAAAGAAAACCCGCCATATGGCCTACTACTGTCTCTGCTGAAAGTCCTTTGTTAGTTCATCACTTCATCTCCATTACATTTCTCATGGACTAGCTTTTTTCAACAACGTTAAGGGAGGTTACAAACAAAGAAAACCCGCCATGTTCTACCACTTCTCATGGATGCATCAAAGTTCTTGTAGTGTTCATCCGTAGCAGCCACCAGCCAATGCCATCTCAACCTGAGCGCTTGCCCCATCAGTTTAATGTCATGGAGACCAAACCCGCCATGATCTACCACTTCTCATGGAGTAGCACTGGGCAGAAAATTCTCAAATGGATAAAGATTTGCTGTTGATGGGTAGCACCATCACAGCAGCATCACCTCGTAGCATAAACTATACAACTCACGCTTGATTTTCAAGTCCACACTTAATTTTCTTTTTGGGTCCGCCTGTAACCGCATAAGCGCGACATGAAGAGAGAAGTGGCAGAACATGGAGACCAAACTGAATCAAAACCAGCGTCTTCTTCAGGGCCTAAAGAAAACACTGGACTCTCATGGTCATTGTTTTTCTGATCCATTTTTACAACTTATATTTTCAGAAAATCATATCAGTACTTAATTGATGTGCTCAGTCCAATCAAGCAATGCGACGTCGGCACACAACCAATGCAAGAACCAATCATCGTCGCGAACCTGCTCCGTTTGATTTTGGCCTCAGATCCCACTACTCAGATGGTTGTTTATGTGGCCATATCCAGATGATGAGGTATCAACTAGGTGCAAATCGGAAGAGGCAACTTATTTCTGATACTTGTTACACAGCAGCAGTCGTAGTACTGTAGTAGTAGTACACTAGTACTAGTAGCTAGTACCAGCAGCGTTAAGAGGTCAGAACTCATAAGGGGATCAAGCGACCAGATGCAAGTCACTATTTATTAATGCGTCATTTGGAGCAGCGATGAGACACTTAGCGATCTCGTCATTGATCAGTCTGGATAAATATATGTATACACAGATACATATGTGCCTTTGTAAGCATGGCGATGCAATCTTTTTGTGTTTTCTCTTGGCCTATTGGCCTAGTTGTCTTAAAAAACCTGAACTGACAGAGGATGTCTGCAGGGTTATTGTAAGTGATAATTCAGTGGTACACAGTATGTTCATGTTCACAGCAATATAATGTTTCCTAGTTGGCATAAAGATCCATGCCATTTTTTCTGAGATTTGGACTGAGATCAAGCAAGGGCTCTAAGTTCAGTTTCAGCAGTTCAGCAGTCTAGGCTTCTAGAAGTGTTGGATGTCCCAACCCTGGCTTAAGAACACTACCTTCAGAAGAAAATAACCATCTCATCATTGTTTCTACTGTCTGAAATATGAATTGAAGCTTTCCTGTTGATAGTTAGTTGCCTTGTATGTATATTGTATAAAGCATAACTTTTCTTGTACTAGGTTGGTTTCTAGCATTTTTGAATGGTGATTCAGACTAAATATGAAAGCTATTGATTATAGAACATAGAATGGGAGATCCTTCGATCAGAGTATGTGCCCAAAAGATTTCAGAGGATTAGTTTGTACAAGAACTGACGGAATCTACAAAGCCCATGAACTGAACTGCAAAAGTCAGCAACTGAGTCAGTAACAGTCCTGCTCTGATCCTTCAGCCAAAGATTCCGTTTCGTCCCTCCAACTGAATATATTTACCCACACACATGCATTATCTTCTTGTTTTTTTATGAACAGTTGAAGGCTTTAAGCACAAGCGCCAAGTTGTTTTGGTACTCCTGTAAATAAATCTGTAATTACTATACACACACATTACGTATTCATCAGTCATGCTGCCGCTGCATCAAAGTTTGCAAAGCACGGCGTCGACTCGGCGAGAATCGACGCCGTTTACACACTTGCCTCTGTGCCCAATCATCGTCGTTACTGCAGCTGCAGCAGCTCATCTTCTGTCAGAGCTGCGAATCGGCATATAAAACTAAAGCAAAAGCCAACTGTTTCTTCGTCTCCTTCGAAAACCAACTTGTGATTTGTTTATTTTAATCCTTTCTTTCAGCCTAGCTAATAGCCAACTGTTTCTTCAGCCATTGGGTGGTTGGTCTATTAGTTTATGCTTCGCATTTGCAATCCTCAGCCTATAAATACGCCTGCTCTGTGATCTGCTTCTTCTTCATTCAGATATAATATATCTTGTTAGCTTCCAGTCGAGATCGAGTAGCTCAGCTGATTCACCGGCAAGAACGAGATGATCGACAAGTGCAAGCATTTTTTAGACGAAGAGGTTTGCAGTTTAGGAGAGCGAGATGGCGCACGTGCTGAGCCACAAGAACGTGGGTGCTGAGATCTCCCGTACCGACCGTTCACCGTCGTGGCTGACCACACACTATGACCGAAGGCAAGAAGAAGGAAGAAAGAACAGAGCGTGCACACACACAACACAAGCATCAGCGTTTGCCGGAGTTTACAGAGGAGATGATAAAATTGAACTCGCTCAACTTTACTAAGTTGCAGTGGAAAGCTATATATATATATACAACTCTACCCATCTAATCCTAATATATAGACATGTCAAGCTATCATGATGCTACAGTGACTAGATGTGACATCAGGACTGACTTTAACGTCTGCTCTTACTGTAGCTATAGTGCGGCGAGAAAGCCTTCGACGCCTATCCCCTGCCGTGGCTACAGCCTTTCGACGTCTGCCGCGCATACAGACGAGAGAGCAGCAATTGCTTTACAAAGAAGCCACGGCTAGACGGGGACGGCGACCCCTCGCTCGCCAAGCCCAAGTTGCACGGCTGCTCCATCTTTGTCCTCGAGTTCGCCATCGGCCAGGCCCTCGGCGGCCACATGAGGCGCCACCATGCCATGACGAGCGGCATGCCCATCATCCACCACGGCCACGACCACGGCGGCGTCAAGCCCGGCGGGCTGTGGCTCGACCTCAACCACCCGCCGTGCGACGACGACGGCTGCGACGCCGAGGTGGAGTGCGGCCACATTAATGCCGCCGCCGCCAGGATCACGTTCCATCAGTTCCTCGACACTGGCACCATGGCCGTCGACTGCCTTGGCTACTAGATACCACCAAGCTCCATGATTCGTCTCCCTGCCACGTACTACTGGTACACCGGCCTCTTTTTTCTTTCTTTTCTTTTCTTTTCTTTTCTGGAATCTTCTTCTTCATTTGCTTCTTCGTGGAGGGGAGAAATCCACATTTTGTAGCAGTAGTAGAATGAAGGTGCCTAATGCATGCATGCATGGATGATGTGCATGAAGGTTTTGGGGTGTCTTTGAGCTGCTTGGTGGATAATTTGGAGGACTAATTGCCACCAAAGCTAGCTGATTTACTACCTTGGGTTTCATGTTATTATGGACAAAAACCCTTTGGTCAAATGGCTTTGATCGATGTAATTATTTAATCTGAGTAAGATAAATATATATAGAGAGCTTGTGGCTTTCTTCAGTTGGTAATCCTGACTCTGTATTATGTCAAGTTGACTTTTAGTATCTTAGCTGACATAACACATGAGTTGAATCTGCGATACTTGACGTCGAAATTGATCAAAGGTCTTCTGTTTAATTTGCTTTTATCTGTGAGGCTAGTATTTTCTCTGTATATTATAATGTGATTATTATCGTTAAGAAAGTTGATCTGATTAGTTTCTCCAGAAAGAGACTGAACTCTGTATATATACAATGTTAGGAAAAAAACGACTATATTAGTATATTGCTTCTAGATAGTGTATACCTGCCCCAGAGTGACATCAATGACTATGAGTGTTCCTCTTATATCTTATCTATATATATAGTTAACATATTCAAGTATAGTTCTATCCTGAAATCCTGAATGTTTTTTTCACCGTAGTAAAGAGAAGGATCTTCAGAGTGAACTCTTCAAACCAAGAGATGCATTTTCTCCAGGCTCTGCATTTGAGCAACCAGCTGGTGTCGGAGTATATCCTTGACACAACCAAAAACAGGTGTTCCAAGTCAATGTCCTCAAAGCTCAGCTATTTTTTTTTTTACTGATGCATGCAATCAATTACTCCATCCCTTCCAAAATGCATCATGTCAATTTGGTTTTACCATAAGTTAAACTTCTGTGGCTTTGGCTAAATTTATAGAAAAATATATTAATATCTATATACTAAATTAATGTACTATAAAGACACATTTTAGATTCAATTGAACTAATACGAGTTTTTAATATTGGTGTATTTTTTCGTATAAGATTGGTTAAAGTTAGAGAAGTTAGACAAAACTAAAACTACTTATATTTTGGGATGGAGGGAATAATTAAGACTCAACAATCAAAGATATGGCTGGGCACGTTGCTTAACAAGAACCATGCATCTCATCACTAGTTATGCATGCATAGGGCATTGCAAGAAGATTGAAGGAAGGCTGTATTTGTGGTCTAGTTCTTTATTAATTATCACCATTTGAGGTTTAATTTGGGTGATCTCATATAAACTCAAGGTTGTCACTTTAGTTTGCAGCAGCTAGCAGTTCCTAGTGTGATACAGAGCTGTAGCATGCATGGTGCCCTACTGCCCACGCAGCTTGTAATTAACCCTTAATGCATGCATTCCTTATGTATATAAAAAATGCATTGAGATTCACAGTTCACCTGATGAGTATCCGACAGGTCACGTACGCAACTGCTAGCTTAGCTGATGGCATTCAGCAATGTGTCAATGTCGACATGGTGTGGTGAATCATATTAATTATATTCTACTCCTACTTTGCAGTTAATTTCTGGTTTAATGAGTGGGTTTCCTTCTTCTTCGTTGAGCAACATAACGTATTATTAGTTCGTCTCTTCAGATTTTGTTTATCTTTCATTAAATTGGTTTTCTACATACTGGAAAAAGGAAAACATACTAATAAACAATGCTATCACACTAGAACTATACATATGATGAAATAATAAATCCTAATCTCCAATTTGGGTAATCATATATTATATGCTGCTGCCTACGAAAGTTGACAGTACTACTGCTCGCAATTTTTTTTTTAAAAAAAAGTAGGGTTGAGCCTTGCATTGATTTGGTTCTTGTTTACCATCGTCAATTTTTTATTCGCTGTGAAATGGTTGAAAACGCTACATATATATAACTGTTACGCTTGGTTTGGTGAGGTAAAGATGAGCACATCTGTTGACAAATGCATGCAAAGCGCATCCCTAGCTAGTTTTCTAATTAATACAACAGTAGTGTGAGCTCACAGCTGTCAGCTTTTGTCAAACAAACTTACACCAGTTGAGAAAGAGATTCCTCACTCATATGTGTAGCTCTCTCCGTGTCATCGTGCGATATATATATATATATATATATATATATATATATATATATATATATAGAGAGAGAGAGAGAGAGAGAAGAGAGAGAGAGAGAGAGAGAGAGATTCCTCACTCATATGTGTAGCTCTCTCCGTGTCATCGTGCGATATATATATATATATATATATATATATATATATATATATATATAAATATAATAAGTTATTATGTAGCCACCTCCATTTAAGATAATTTTATATACTAATTTACGATAATGTCAATACATATTTACTATAATTAGGTTACTATAACACATGGTGATATTTACCATAATGTTATAGTAAACCACTTAGGCGCCGTTCGGCTGATAAGAAAACCAGCCGAAATTCACTGTTCATGGCTGGTTTTCGCTGTTTACGCTCTCACAAATTTCTCCAGATTCATCCAGCGAACAGGGCCTTAGCAAGGAGTTACTATAATCTCGTAAATTAATATAGTAATTATCGTAACTCAAAGCGGCTACATAATAAGTTATATATATGGAAATGGAGCTGCTACAGCGAATCTTGAGGCTAGGAAGGAGTATAGTTTAGATGGTGGTTATCATGTGTGCTATCACCCTCTTGCTCTAAACAACTAGTATAGGGAAGCAAAATTTCAGTGCAACTCTTGCAGTTGCAGGTGTAGAATATGCGTACATACACTACCTTAGGCCTCGTTCGGCTTACCCCATATAGCTTGTTCGGCTTCTTTTTTCAGACGGAATAGTATTTTTCTCTTACAACATTTTAGCTAAAACGGTGTTTTTCGGCCAATTTCAGCCAAGTTTCAGCAAGCCGAACGGGCCTAAAGTAGTGTATGTACTATGTAGAGAACAACAGTTGTTTCCTTTATGTCGGGTTCATAAATCCGGGGTCCCTCCCGGACCAGCTTTCCAACGAAGGCCCGGCCCAAGCAGACAACGGGCATCTTATGGACCGGCCCGAGTACCTAAACGATATGCCAGAGGGGCAATCCAGTCTCCAACCGACAGGCCTGACCGAAGAGGAACAGCACCCGCTTTCGGCTCCTCTCCGACCGGAGCACTAGCTTCGGTCTCCAGCCCGCCTCCGGACGGCCTCTCCGACCGGAAAAGCTGGCCAAAACACCGCTTCCGACTCCGACCCGCGTCTCCGACCGGAGATACGTCGAACCCCTGCTCGCCGTTCTTCTCCGACTGGCGCGATCAGAGCCGACTGGGACCAATCGATTGGGGACGCCCTCTCAGAAAGGACCAGGAAACAGACGGAGAAAGTAAGGCAGGATGCACAAGTCAAACCGCAATACGAGGGACCGTACCCTGTGCTCCTGCCAGGCAGTACCATGCGACCCTCCTGACACAACAGAACTCAAACAGTATTGTAGACGCCGACATTTTCCCCTACAGTATTGTGGGCACCATTAACTCCTATACGGTAAGGCTCCCCCCATATGCCTCTGGGCATCGACAGTGTTGTGGGCGCCAGCATTTACCGTACCGGACGAACGTGGTAAAACCCCTTGCATGCTTCCAGGAACCAACAGTGTGGCTGGCGCCGACGTCTGTCATGCCCGAAGAAGACAACACAACCTCCCACGTACATCTGACATTCAACAGTATTGTGGGCGCCTACCATCATCCTGTACCTGCCGGCGTGGGCAACAAAGCTCAGTAGCATACAAACTCTTTCCCTCTCACTTGTAAGGCCATCCCCTTCATCTATAAAAAGGGATGCGCTCTCTCCGAAAAGACTCAGTTCATTCGAGTTGATTCAGATCCATTAGATCGATCAAGTCCACTAGCACACAACAGCAGAACCACTAGGTTCAAACCACGAGCACACGCTCGAACACTTAGCTCATAGCGGGGCTCTCGTCACTTTTGGTCCCTCTGACCAGAGTCCGATCGGACCTCTTGTACCCCCCATCTGTCTCCTTCTCGTTTGTAACCCCACTGCAAACTTCGAGCACCTGGGCTCAGGAATAAAGTCACCGACTGACTCAAACTGGACGTAGGGCACGTTGCCTAAACCAGTATAAACCATGTGTCATTGAGTGCTAGGCCACCTCCGATCACAACGTACGGCAAAACTACAAATATTTACTTGTTGGTTACTTTCTGCACCGATAGTTGGCGCCGTCCGTGGAGAAGACGTTGTATGTTCAATACTTTTTGGTCATCGGATGGCCCACTTTTCTACCACCTTCGCCATGGCGGGCTCAGGCGATACAACTCGCTTCGGCTCACTGAAGTTTCCCGCACTCCCACCTATTGGGATGTGGGTTCCACCCATCTTTGAACCGTCCTAGGCCTTCCTCTTTGGAAGCCTAGACTTCGTCGCCGACCAGCTCGGCATACTACACCTCCGCTAGGAGGTACTCGTTCCGGCGCCTATCGGAGGGGCACCCTCCATCAGCTCCAGGACGCACGACGACTTCAATGACGCGACACCTGCGCTTCATTCCGAGCAAACTCTCTACTCAAACCTCGCTGTGAGTAATGTGCATACTGTTATTTACTCACTATTTACTATCTTCTGTCAATTATCCAGAGGGACCACGTTGTCCGTACCACAACCACCGCACGACCGATTCCCCTACGGCCTCGCGCCCCCGCGAACGCGTACGCCCGGGGGCTCCAAAAAATGCTGACGCCGCCTCCTCTCACATCTGAATTCGTGGGGATGGTGAGCTATGCTCCCACCTGTTTCTACGAACTCCTGGATAACAAGGTTGAGAGCGATGGCTCCAGCATCGACGACGTGGCGCCTGGCCACCA